CCCCTCCCCCGCCCCTTCCTCCCTCTGCTCCTGAAGAGCAGCACTGGGGGCCTGCCCAGAACGCACCGTAGTAGCAGACGAAGGGCTTCTGCTCTGTGCAGGAGGAGGCCCCCAGCCGGGGGACAATATTCAGCGACGTGTACACGGTGGCGCAGAAGCCCACCCCAAAATCGGGCAGACTCTGGCTCCAGGTCAGGGAGGTGAAGGCGGAGCCGCTGGACCATCGCAGGCCGGAGATGCTGGCGTCAAAGAAGAGGCCGATCCACACGTCTGCGCCGGCCATGAGGGAGTAGAGCTGCGCCAGGTTGCCCACCTGCAGGTCGGCCAGGTCCGTGTAGCGCAGCCGGCAGTAGCGCCGGGCGTCGTACCAGCTCAGCGCCTTCTCCACCCTGTGGAAGCTCTTCCCGCCGCTCCCCAGCTGCAGGGCTGGGGCGGGAGGGGCTGTCGGCCACACCGCAGCGGGCCTCTCTCCTCTCCCACTCTGCCCCTCACCACAGCCCCCCACGCGTGCCCAGCACTGCCTCCTGGCCCTGGCACCAGCTGCTCTGTTGGCCTGGAAGGGCCGACCGCCTCCATCCCCTCCTCCCACTCTCTGACCACCCCCTCCCCGTGCCCAGCCACTCCTCACCCCCTGCCCCACCCTGGCGTGGGTGCCTTCCTGTGGGCGGCAGTGCCCTTCCTTAGCGCTTGCTAACAACGGACGGTGCTTCCTGGGTGCGTGTGATGCGTCATTAGCTCATCGAATCCTTCCAACGACTCCCTAAGACAGGGGTCCCAGCCTGTGATGAGCTGTATAATTATTTCATTGAACATTGCAACGTAATAGTGGAAATAAAGTGCACCACAAATGTAATGCACTGGAATCATCCCGAACCCATCCCCCGACCCGGTCCGTGGAAAAATTATCTTCCACGAAAACGGTTCCCGGTGCCAAAAAGGTTGGGAACCGCTGCCGAGACATCACCCTACCTGTTTACAAATGAGGAAACCAACTCAGAGTTAAGTGGCATGGCCAAAGCCACCGGGGGGGGGGAGGAGGTAGAGCCACGATTCAAGAACCCTGGTGGGCGTCCAGCTGCAGACCCTCACCCGTGGCGGCCGTGCCCCCGCATCAGGGCCGGGAGCCGAGGCTGGAACCGCCCAGGGCGTGAGGACATGCCCAGGCCCGCCCTGACTCTCTGCTGCTGGGACAGCATCAGAATTTCTGAAACGCTCCCAGGGAAAAGGCCTTTTTGTCTGTCTCCACCATCTGATCTAGGCAACGTGGGAGCAAGAACAAGCCGTGCTCACGATATTCCCAGTGCCCAGCACAACGCCGGGCACACCAGACGGAAGGCACGGAGTCACTGAAAAGGAAGGAAGGAACTGGGGAGGGAGGGAGGGAAAAGGAGGGAAGAAGAAAGGAAGGAAAGGAGGAAGGAAGGGAGGGAGGAAGGAAGGGAGGGAGGAAGGAAGGGAGGAAGGAAGGGAGGGAGGGAGGTAGGAACTAACGAGCAGATCAAACTTCTCCCAGGGACCCACCCCAAGCGCCAAGGTCTCGGAGTTCACTTGCTTCCTCCCTTGACTCCATCCCTCGGGGGGTCCCAGCAAGTGAGGGCTGGTCCAGGCCTCTCTGCTCTGCCCAGGTCCCGCCCGTGGAGGGCGGAGAGGGCTGGAGGGCTTGGTGCTGGGATCTTGGGCGTCCCAGGCCGCAAGGAACCAGCTGCAGGGCAGGTGCCCCAGCAGAGGACAATCAGGTTGAAGAATTGGGCTCAGGGATGGCAGGGTGTGCGCAAGGAGGGGACAGGACCGAAGAGGCACTTGCCAAAAAGAGTTAAGCTCCTCGCACCCACCAGTGTCAAAGATCCTTCCTGTCGCTAGAAAAGTATTCTGTTTATTCTGTTTTATTTCTATTTTTTGTAACGACTGGCCGTGGCCCACTAAATTGACTCCAGGATGTGACGGGTCCCCACTGGCAGTGAGAAGCAGCCCGGCCGACCCCAGGGCTTTCCACACTGTGTCCACACTTGACGCTCGGAGTCCTGCTGCACCCCGGCCCCCGGTGTCGCCTCCCAGCCCCGCCCAGGGGTCCCTGTGTCCTCCCCTCTCTCCTTCTCGACGTCCCGTCACACAGCAAACCCTGTGGGTTCCAGGGCCCTGAGCCTCCTGGAACCTCGCACTTCTCTCTGCAGCCCTGGCCGGAGTCGCGTCCTCTCCCTGCCGCAGGGGCCCGTCCTCCCGCCTTGGCCGCCTGCGTTCCCCCCCTGCGGCTCGCGGGCCTCGCTGAGACCTTCACAGCGGCGCTTTACCAACCTCCATTGTATCTGTCACATAATTCTGAAATTATCTTGATTATCTTCTTGTTGAATTTATTTTTTTTTTTTTTTGAGACAGTGTCTCGCTCTGGCTAGAGTGCAGTGGCATCATCACAGCTCACAACAACCTCAAACTGCTGGGCTCAAGCAATCCTCCTGCCTCAGCCTCCCCAGTAGCTGGGACTACAGGTATCAGCCACCAGGCCTGGCTAATTTTTTCTATATATTTTTAGTTGTCCAGCTAATTTTTTCTATTTTCAGTAGAGACGGGGTCTCGCTCTTGCTCAGGCTGGCCTCGAACTCCTGACCTCAAGCGATCCTCCCGCCCCGGCCTCCCAGAGTGCTAGGATCGCAGGCGTGAGCCACCGCCCGGCCTTGTGTCCTCACCGTCTTCAGCCCGGCTGGAAGCAAGCGCGGGGAGGTCGCGGCTGCGCCGGGCCGGTGCAGGGAGCCGAACCACCGCCCAGGACCCAGCGCCCCCGGCCGGCGAGGGGAGGAGGCTCCTGCCCCGTCCCGATCTGAAACGTTCCTTTCTTTTCCCTCCGTCTCCCTCCACCCCGGCAGCCGCGGCCCCCCGGGCGGGCTCACCTGCGGCGCCCAGGACCAGCAGCAGCGTGGGGGACGGCATGGCCCGCGCAGGACGCGCTGGAGTCCGCGGCGCGGCTTCCGTCGTCCTTCCGAGCTCTGCGCCCTGCGCGCGGCCCCCCGCCGGCGGACTCTGCCGAGCGATGCCGGCGCCACTCCGAGCGCGGGGCGGGCGGGACCGCTGGGCCCCGGGGCGCCGAGCGGACCGAGCGGAAGGACGGGGACGCGCGCTGCCCCCCAGGGAGCCGCCCTCGCGCGGAGGGGACGCCCTGCCCCGCCGGGTGGCAGCGCAGCGGCTCGAGCTCAGGACGCTGAAGAGCGTGAGGCGGGGAGGGGCGCCCAGCAAGTCCTGCAGGAGGTCAGAGGTCAGAGGTCAGAGGCCCCCCAGTCAAGCACACGGGCCGGAGGCCAAGGCACCGTCTCCGCGGCACCAAACAGCTCCGGGTTCTCTCCCCGCCCCCCCCAACACCCCAAATCCTTTTTCGCCCTGAGCTTCCTCCAGTCCCCGAGGGCCGAGCTTCTGGAACAGCCTGGAGACTCGGCGTCCCCGCCCCCTCCGCTGGGGGAAGGGCGCACGGCCCGACCGAGCGTGGGCGGGAAACGGGGGAACCTTCCTGCTTCAGCCGCAGCGAGGGCAGGGCGCGCAGACGCTTCCTCCCGGCAGCGCCTCTGCGGACCGCCGGGGACAGAGACCCGCCAGTCCCGGCCTAGAAAACACCGGCCTGGTCAGTGACCTGACCTCCCCGCGTCAGGTCTCTTGAATTAGGGGCCCTGGTGAGCCGGGGGAGCACCGCGAGGAGGAGCCGGGGGGAGCACCACCAGGAGGAGCCTGGGGAGCACCGCGAGGAGGAGCGGGGGGAGCCCGGGAGGAGGAGCCGGGGGAGCACCGCGAGGGGCCAGGGGAGCACCGCGAGGAGGAGCCGGGGGAGCCCGGGAGGAGGAGCCGGGGGAGCACCGCGAGGAGGAGCGCAGCCGTGCCGGGGCCGCTGCAGAGCAGGCAGCGCCCCCAGGTCAGGCTCAGCATCTCTGGGGCAGCGCTGCCAGCACCGTCTGGCCCTGCTGGCCAAACCCACCCCTGTGCTTCTCTCCTCCTTCCTCTGGACTGTGAGCTCCCTGAGCGCAGGGGCACCCGCCCCTTTACGAGTACACAAAACCTCTCGGCAAATGGCAGGCGTCTGGTTATTTCTAGGAGCATTTGCTATTATTATTCTCTTTGGTTCCCAGCTCGGGGCCAGCATCCATCTGGCACATGGAAACCTGACTGCGTGAACGCAGGAGACGCCTTGGACAGGACACACAGGGTGATGACGAGGAGGGGGACGGAGTTTCACTGGTAGCTGTGCCAGGAAATCTGAGCAAGGGTCAAAGGAACCGAGTGAGGGAGCAGCAGGCTTCCTAGGCGACCCAGGAACAAACACTAGGTTTGCATGAGCTACAGGAAGCCAAATGGTCAGGGAAACTGCCTGCGGCATCTTTCCCATCCCCAGAGAGGGGCCGCCATTCCACCCAGCTACCATCAGCCCTCACTTCCGGGTACCACTTTCCTTTCCAGTGTTCGTACCTCTTCTACATTTCAGTCCCGTCCAAACCGCTGCACACGGTGACAAGGCCGGGAAAAGGGGCGGTTGGGCCGAGTGGATCAGACGGGGTGATCTGGGGTGCGGCACACGGGCCGGGACGGGCCGGCACTCCCCGCGGGCAGGAAGAGCCGTGTGCTGCGCCGGGCGGCACTGCCCACCCAGGGCCCGGCACGCAGGGGCCGCTCCCGCCCGTGACTGGGCCGAGCCCGCCGTCCTCAGAGGCTGGAGAGCCCAGCGCCGGGTGTGTCCCGTGCCCCACCTGGCTCCCGCGTTGGATTCAGAGCAGCCCCTGGGTCCAGAGGAACCAGGCTCCTGGGAGGCTCACAGGCCGGGAACCAGACCCCCAGGAACACGGCAGAGACGGCCCAGGAGCCAGGCTGTGCCCCTCGGGGCTCCTTCAGCTCCCCGGGCCTAGTGCCATCATGGCACTGACCCTATCCTGCCAAAGCGGCCATTCGGTGCCTCTGTCAGCGCCCCCGGTGGCGGGTTCCCGTGGGCCAGGCCGACTTAGTTGTCTCTGTGCCCCTGGGGACTCGCAGAGCGCATGACGCATGGTCAGAGCTCGGTACCCGTGTGCGAGGGAACCGGGGACCGACGTGAGTCGGCGGCACGTTGGACCGGAGCCCTGGCTAGGAACCGGCGGTCCTAGTGCCGGTGCACGCGGGCTGAGACCCGCGGGCCGGACCCCCGATTCTCCGGGTGGGTTTGTAGTCGTCGCGGTTTTTAGAGGGGCAGCGCGAGCGGGGATCCCCGGGTTGAATCAATAATTAGACAAAATACAGTAACACTGGTGTTCAGGGGACCAGGCGAGTGGGCGTGGCCTGCTCCAGCGTCCCAATTGGTCCCAGTCGCCTTTCTCGAGAGGGCAGCTGTCACAGGAGTGTTGCCACCCAGAGGACCACGGTCCCAGTCGCCGTTCCGGAGAGGGCAGCTGTCACAGGAGTGTTGCCAACCAGAGGACCACGGTCCCAGTCGCCGTTCCGGAGAGGGCAGCTGTCACAGGAGTGTTGCCACCCAGAGGACCACG